TATTTGACTCCGCCAGCAGTAGAGTTTAAATCATTTTCTTTGCTTTTCTGGCCTTTTCACCCAATTCATTCTCGGTGCGAGCCTGAGTTGTGTAAACAGTCGATGGTTCTCGCAAATGACATTACAGTCATGCAATGACTTTTTTTTCACAAGATATATTTCACTTCACAAACTGCCTCAGGGGTTCTGAGCTCCCACGTAGATACTTCTGTTGACACACTAAAGTATCAGCCCAGGTGTTGTTATCTAACGAGTGCCTGAGGTTATTTTCTATATGTTGGCATAAAACCAAACCTGGTGAACATGCGTCTAATGAGCCGTCACTCAGCGTCAGTCTGTTGACTCTAATCGCTCGTTTGTTCTCAGCATGCTTCCCCCGACTGTCACGCTGTGTCAAAACTTTGTGTTTACCTGACAGCTCAAAGCTTCACTCTTCTTCATTGAGTAGACACACACACACATGCCAGACGCACACATTAAGGCGTATCTTTGTACATGCAGGCGCGTATGTTCAGAAATGTGAGGGTTCTTTTGGATTACATCAGATAAACAGGCATGAACAGCCTATTGATGCTGTTCAGTTCCTGGCTGAATCCAACAATGAGATGAAATCAGCTTGTTGTGGCGGATTCAGCCAAGGCGCAGGCATAAAAGAAAGACGACACAAAACAGTCTGATGTAGAACTAAATGCTTTCATCTGTTCCAACAAGACCAGACCCAAGGAGAAGTGGTCCTGACTGTCTCACCGTTTGCCTCGGCTCGTTAGCAGGACGTTTAAATTCACCGTCAGCTCCCCACCACATTAGTTATATGACATTCAACTGTGTTACAATGGTATAATATTACTGAATAATTATTAGTTTACTGTAACAAAGGGTCATAATAGGATGTCGGAGAGAGAGAGAGAGAGAGAGAGAGAGAGAGATTATTGTTCTACCAGCATTGATTTTCAGGGCCATAAAATATAAAAGATCCCTGGCATTAAAGAAAAATCCACCAATAATTATGAATTATTTGCTAACATGGTAAATCACTGTTGCAATCAAGTTCATGTCCACAATGTCCTGCACAAAGAAAATGTATATTCATACATTTAAAAGGCCTTAAGGATTGCCACATGTTGAGCTGCGGCCACTTTGTTCCCGATCTGGTTCAATCCTCATTGAAGAATACCAATAACTTCCTTTAGCTCCAACATGAGGTTCACATTTGCTTTTTTGAAATAAAATTGATCGACAAGTACCTATTATTACTGAATTATATTCATTTGAGTTGTCACATTCATCCCCCCCTATTTTGTTTTGCTCTTCACTGCAGAGATTGAAATGCACGCCACTGCTCAAACATATGGGATGAATTATTTTAACGGTGGGGAAGAGAGAGACGGGGAGAATATTTCCACAAAACGTTTAATTGAACGTTGCCTTTTGTTTTTGCTGTTTCTCAGCCTTTCGAAGCTACGCTGTTCCATGCTATCACTGAGCTGATGGTGGTGCAATGATGTGTGGAGGAGCAGTGCCAACTTCAGCAGGAACACCTGGTTCTGCCTTCCAGCCCGAAACCAACTACACAGCAGACAAACAGTGCAGATGAAAACTAACCGAGGAGTTGAAATCCTTTTCAACACAGAGACGCGCTCCCCGTGCGTCACATAATCTCATCCACTAAGGGGTGTGCTTGTTCGCTACGGGGGCCCATTAATAAAATATGACTGCATCATATAATAGACCCTTCTGCCAAATTACAGCAGACAGAGAGACATCTTATTAGGAGGATTGAGGGGGAGGTGTGTGTGTGAGATGGAGCCCGAGTAGAGAGATTAAGGGACTTACTCTCATCAAAAAGGCACATTACCTAAGTGTTGGCATCATTAATAAGACTAAGGCAGAGCCAATCTGCTAACAAAAGCTATAACTGTGACCAAGGAGACATGAGAGAAGAGAACAATCAGTCCCCACCGCTGTGCAGGTTCTCCCTTTTGTTTCGTTCCTGTCTCGTCCCACCAGCACACAGAAATAAGGTACATTTTCACACATCCTCAAACACAAAGCAGGGCACCGCTCTAAATCCAAATCAAACTGCCGTGAGTCACGCTGTCACCGTGGCAACAGTGGCCAGCCTCATGCAGAACACATTCTGTCATATCACTGGTGGTTTTTCTTTTTCCTGTTCATCTATGCGGCACGCGCAGACGTGGCCAACTTTAAGCCACAGTAAATCCTGCGCTGATCTCTCAAGTGGATCGATGAATAAAGCAGCGGAGTGTGTTGGTTCGACTGCTCGAGGTCATAGTTCAGACCGTTATCATACAAATCCTTCAAAGGCTGTCCTGCACCATCTCAGACAGGAAAACTGCATCCGCGTAGCCAGGCTGCCGCCCTGAGTGCCTCGACTCGAGTCAGTGACGGCGCTCTGTGTTCTGTGGATGTGGCTTGAGGGTTTTGAGGGATCCGAGCTGCGCTGATACGTTTCACCACAAGATGGTGTCTCCCATCGCTGAGCAGTGGAGAAAGAGAGAGGATGGAGATCAAAGTTGCCATCGCTATCCATCTTCATAAACACAAGCGATAGTCGTGCTCTGGAAACAGCAACAGAGACGGATCGGGCAGTTACGTGGCAGGTCCTGGTCGTCCTGGAGGACTATCTCTGGAAAGTGTAGGACTTCTGTCTCAATGTCTTTGGCAGTTTTTTTGATTGACGGTGATTGCAAAAAAAAGAGACAGGGAGGATGGAGAAGGAGTAGGAGAACGACATTTGGTAAATGAGCTCTTGGTATTTGCTCCAATCACTCGGCTATCGTCTCCGGCGGCACCGCGTCCCTTCTGAGAGTCCTCGTCCCGTATTCTGCGCTTTGCAGCATTCAGGAATCAAGCAGTCACAACGAGGAGAGAACTACATTATTCATTTTGATAAAAGGTGACGGATGACATTTTACGCCCGTCGCACTCGATGATGGTTTTTACACTGAAAAGCAACAACAAAAGGAAAAGAACACTTGCCACAGATGGCACATAAGTGCTGCACAGACACTTTAGTAGACTTCATAGTGTTTGTGTACTCCACACCTTGATGGAGAGGAATTGCCGAAAGTCAAAGACAACTACGGGAGTTTACAGCAACTTCAGTTGGCTCTTAGCATGACAGGATCCGCGGTCCTCTTGCCGATGATTTACGGTTGGAAGTGTGCGGGACTTTGGAGGACGAGTAAACAATTTGAGAGTATAATAACCGAAGGGCCACCCACATCATCAATGATGCACTTCAAAGCTCCCTCAGGAGGAGGCCGTACTCGAGGCCGGCGGCGACGCGCTGTTGTTAAATGTCTGTCAGCTGACAACTCCTGTACAAGCAGCTCATAAGAACTAATGTGAGAGAAACACGTGGACAGTGTCAGGAAAATGATGATGTTGACGTGTTGTATACGTGTTTGCATTACATTTGGGGTTGTCTAGTTAAGTTTTCATGTGAATAGTTATGTGTGCTCAGGAGTTATGGACACACTATGTAATGTAAAGGAGGTGCAAAGAACTTGATTTATTAACTTTTGTTTCCAGATTGAACCGTGCATATTTTTTAAACGCACACACTGTGACTTGCTCTCAACCCTAAATCCTACATTCCAGAGGCGACTGCTCCACAGAGCAGTGGGAGGAAGATACTCCCTCATTTTCTGAACATTTTCCTTCAAAAGCAGGTAAAGCAAGAGGCTACAGCTGAGCACCTTAATTTACAAGTTCTGTCCTTCTGCTGCATTCCGAGTACAAACCTCCACCACTACTTTTATATTACAGTTTCTATCATATCTGAGAAATGATCCAGTTCTGCAAATATGTCCTACGTATATTGTGCATGTTCTAATGATGCTGATTATACTCGTTCTGCCTTGCAAAGATATCACAGATTTGATTTGTAATCATATTGTTAGGATATATGAAGCTGAAAACCAAGAAACAACGAGGCTTTTGGCTAATAGCTGGAATGGTTTAGATTCTCAACCTATTCGTGGAATATATTCTACCTTTTTTCTCCATGAAAATGTAGAGTGTTCTTTTTTATATATCTTTATATTCCATGCAATCTTTCACATCCCTCTTGTGTTTGCCGGATACAAGCAGCTGAAGTAAGATCATTTGGCACTAAACCGGGTGTGAATCGACATTTTTCACCTCAAATTGATGATCCTGTTTCTCCCCTTGTAAGTGTACCTGCGGCTGAGTAGTCCACCCTTCATGCGGCACGTGTTTCATCGTGATCACAGGCGATATATCTCATCCTCTCTCTTGTGCTGAATGTGAAGTGGGGCCATGCGGGGCTCATCTACAAGCATCCTCAGAGAGTGATTTGGGTGCAGCCCTGACTTCCATCAGAAGGGGGATTTTTTTTCAGCATAGCACCGTGAGTGCCAACGGTTCCATCAGCACCACAAGATACACTCAGGCACATTTGGGCAGCTCACCCTGCAACCATGGTAACAGAAGAATTTTACTAGTTGGCAGCAGCCAATAGTGGGGCACTTCCCACTCAGCTCCATCCAATAACCGAGCTGCATGCAGCCCAGCCCACATAGAGCAGACACTGATGGGCTAGTGCAAGGAGGATTTAGAGATGTAGGCTTGGCTAATGAACAAGCACGAGAGTTACGAGCGTGTAGGTATGTGCGTGTGTGTGTGTGACTGTAGCATAATCTAATGAGAGGGTGCCCGCTCTAACTGCAAAAGCAAACACAGTGCATGTTAGTACTCATTCACTAAGACCATCTGACAGTCAACACCAACAATGCAGCAAAACCCTTCTGTCATCTCGCTCCCACACGCGTCGACATGCATGTTGCACGCACACACTCACACACACACAAAGACCCAGACGCACACAAGTCTCAACTGGCTCTTGTCACATAATAACTTATCAGCCTTATCTTGGCGTGTGACACAGCAGTTTTACGGGGATCAGAATGTTATATCCAAACCAAGAAATAAAGAAGAAAACATGTGCCACCATCAGCTGTCAATAAAGTCATTTATTATTTCACACAATGGATAACATGAACAACTGTAGTTCTTCTTAATAAGTGCTCAACGCTGCCTGCCAATAGAAGGGTAGCAAAAGAATGAGCTTTTCTTTCTGCGGAAAGAGAAATAAAAACAAAACAAAAAATGAACCTACAAGATCATGGAAGATAAACATGACCAAAAGCATGCCAGCGGACATGGATATACACATATATTGCATGTATATATGTGCTTAAGACATATATCTGTATGCCAGCAAATGCAAATACAAAATATATGTGTACATTTACACATACATACTGTGAAGGATATATGCATATACATGCGCATCTAGTATTTACTCTATATGTCAAATATTTGCAGTTTTTAATATTCATACAATGTACAAAATTGCTTCATGAATTAAAAAATCCATTACAAAAGAAACATATCAAACAATGTACAAGACTTGCTCCAAATTCAATTGAAATTCAACTTTCGGCTTGTCTAAAATATTTATGCATACAATCAGGTTGAGCATGCAAATAAAAGAAACCCACTCTAGAAAAAGGTTCAAATACACTATGTTTACAAACTAAAATATGCCCAAACAGTTAGAAGAGTTCATGTTGTGCTCTAAAGAAGTACATTTATTGGTTTTCTTTTCAGCTTTAAACAAAACTGTAGCTTTGAACTGTAACGTATGCTGTGTGGATGACTACATGTACATTTATGAGCTTCTGCCTCACGTGACCCCTCACTCCACGTGTAGGACACTCAGCACAGCGTGCTACAAAGGGAATAGGGAGTGATCAAAATTTAGGTGCCAATATATCACATTCTAGTTGTTGATGTGAACTGCTGACTGTGGGCTTCGGTAAATACAACCGCACCCACTGATTTAAGGTCAAGCGCTGCCGCGCTGCCCTTGATGCTGGGACCAAAACAAAACACGGTAAAAGATCCTCACATCACGGCTTAGAGGCCTTCTGCCGCCACGGGTCCAGATCCGACTGGTCCTGGCTGCTGAGTCCTTAACAACAGTGAGCTTGAACCCTTTTCACAGCCACGCACCCCCCTCGCTCTCCGTGTAGAGTGAAAGCTCTGGATTAGGACAATACTTGTCAGTGTTAGAAGGCACCGGAGCATTGGCTGGTAGAAGATACAGACAGGACAGACAACACCTGGGGTCTTTAGCTCTTACATGAGAAACCGCGGACTGACCACAGAAAGGAGTAAGCTGCCTAGCGCGTAGTCTCTACACCTCGCGGACCACACATCCACACCTCATCTTCACCACAACAGACTGCAGACCCACCAGAAGTCATCGAGCAGAGCGAGGTTAAGCACACTGACTTTACGACGAGTGTATTTTTGACTATTTTCTCTGACAACTCTCCCCACACGCAGCCTTCATGCTTGTACTCTTCATGCTACTCCACTCACCCAACTGGCTGCAGGCAAAATAGTTGCATTTCAGTGGGGGGTTCCTATTTTTGGTAGAGTGCACCACAGTGAGGCTTTCATCCTCTTAGGACATTTGAAGGTGTGATAAGGTGATCTATTTCTTTTTTAGCATTCTGTGTAATTTAACGGACTGAAACGATGACTATCGATGTACAGCAGAATTTGTCAAATAGGAACATCAGGTAACCATTTCTTTCTTCTTCTTGTGTCTTGAGCAGTCTTGATACAGAGAGAGAGTGTCGATTGTGGTTTTAGGAGACGGTCCCAGCATAGTTGAGCCCAACCGGTATCCATGCAGGATGGACCTACTAACACTATTTACAACAAATACTTTCGATACTATAGTTTTACATCTGGTTAAGGCTGTACTGCATAGAGCTGCAGTAACTATAGTTTTCATGAAATGATAGTCACTTTCTGCAACAACGTATTACAAATTATTACTGGTATTATTCATAATTCTTGTTATATGAATTAATTTTATTCAGTAAATAAGACCACTTATTTCTCTTTGATGAAGGGCGGGCCCAGAACAGATATCCCTTTTAAGGTCATTGCCAGGCATGGCCTGATGCATAGCGAGCAACAATGTTGGAGAACGCGGTCTCCATGACAACCTCCCCTCTTCCTCCTTTGCCAAGTGCATAACCAGTTTTATGGTTTCAAAAAACAGGTTACATACAGAGCAGAGTAAATGATCCTAAAATGTATCTGGGAGATTTAGTACAATTAATATTTCTGGATAGATATAGGGGACCTTTCTGAAAGTAGGCCAGCACTAGGTGTGTATTTAATACAGTAATATCATATTGTATAGATCCATCCCACCCTTCTCATATTCACTCACATTACTAGGAGGAAGCTGGTGACAGAGGATGCTGAAGCCTGGAATGGACACACGCAGTGTCAAGGTTCTGATGACTAAGACACGTCAATATGCACAATCGTGGATGTTTTGGGCCGATTTCGTGGGGCACTCGTTGCCACTTGATATTACTACGGTCGAATGTAACTGGTGAGAGAAAGAAACATAAGGCACAAGTTGAACTGCTGCAACTGAGAATCCCACCCAATCCAAAGAAAACCAGATCTCTTTGAAACAAAACTATCAAGAAACACTGATCCATTGCTTATATTTTGAAATACTTATTTGAGAAAATACCAACCACTACCTAAAGCCACAGATACTGTAGATAGAGTTTAGCAAAGGCTTGACATATTGACACAAAGATTCAAGATGGCTACATTCTAGAGTTCACTTTACATTGGTGCCAACGTGGTGGAGAGTTTGTCAAACTCAGAGAATTCAGATTCTTTTAAATAATACATCCTCACTATGAATACTGTAACTTTGGTTTCTAAATCTAAACACTGGATTTACTTTCAAAAATTTCCAAGGAGATGTATTGAAATGACGTTCAATCAAATCAGGTAGAAAGACTGGGATTCGCTTTTCGAAACACTGACTATGAGCCCTCTTCGGGTTGAACTATCGGATCACAATTCAGACAATTCAGGCTTCGGTTTGACGCTTTTGGCTGCGCAGCCTGCATATAAAAATTGATTAAAACAATGCGTGCTCTCTGGAATGGATATCCACACCATTGAAGGCCAAAACATAAGGCTAGAACAAGCATGTAAGTGCTGCATTTGATTGATGCGAGTGTATATGTTCTCATAGTGCAATAAACCAATTTTAAGGTTTACCAACAACACACCTGATATTTTTCCTGTATGCGATGCCCCCCTGGATATAAACACATAATCGAGTGAATGAATGAATACATGTGGTTCCTTCTGTCTGAAAACAAACTTGTCTTGAGTCTCACCCATGTCTGTTTTTGGTTATAAAATAATACACACAACTCTCATTGTCTATGGTACAACAATTCTATTTGATATACTGTATGTCATGTATACATGTCTATGCGCTGGTTTCTCATTGTACAAGGCAGGCAACAGTGGACTTTCTTTCTTTCTATGTACAGTCTGGGACAGTCTCATCCACCATATTGCCTCTACGTCACTATTCAGGGCAGGCCGGAGCAGGAATGTGATCGGTGAGACACAGGAGTGGGTCGGGGGAGGAGAAGCGATGGGAAATGAAAATCATGATTTGGGACCAGATGAGAGGATAAAGGGAGATGAAGTTTAACGGCAGGCACCCAGGGAGAGCTAAAAGAATTGAGGACAGTGATGGGCGGGGAGCGTGCCAGCGAATATCAGTGACTCCTCAGAGACAAACCAGGAAGGTACAGACAAGGGTGTGAGCAATAAACAGGGATAAGTAATGGGGTACGCTGGGTTAATTACTGCTGTCTTATCCCGCGTCTTTGAAAAGCGTCCACAGAAAGGCAAAAATAAGCAGAGCTGCACGGTTTAATATTAACCACTCTCCCTCCCCTTGCTGGTAAATATATGGCGAAAGCCACATTCAGATACAGTATCATAAAGTACCATAAACATCACTGTATCAGATACATAAAGAATCACATAATATCCTACACTATCATAAGTACCACACACTTTTATAGCATCAGGTTTAGTATCAAACAGTACCATATAGTGCCATTGCAAAGGAAGGTCCAATGAATCCTTGAAAGCCTCATCTCTTGTTGGGCTTAGCAAGCAGAGGGATGGTACCGTAAGTGTCTCCTCCTCCTGTGACCCTCTGCAGTCCTCACAAACAGGAGAAAGTCAAAGTGCACCACGGAGTCCCAGAATGAAAGGAGCACTGCATCTGAAACGGGACCGACTGCAACAACGGCTCTCTGTTACGGGTTACAGGGTGGCTCTCTCCTGCCCGGTTTATTGACCGGAGGGAGCCCATAACTCGTCCCTGCTGTGGCCCCTGCCTCTGCGTTTGCCCCCCGTGGAGGCCAGTGGAGGCACAGATCGCGCTTGGTGCACCACAGTCTCAATCGTTGCCGAGATGGAATCGTGATTTGAGAACTCCAGCGGCTCGGGGGTCAGGCTTGACCTGAGGCTCTGCCTGCCTGACGGGTCATCACACCTCTGCAGGACGGGCATCCCCGGAGTCCTCCCATCACCTCTCCTACCGGCCGACACGTCCAAACCCCGACAATCAGGCCGAATATCCACACTCCTATTAGTCGGCTGGGATTCTTCGATAGGCTTTTTTCGGGGGCGCCCGGGCCGTCTTTTAACGACATTGTTTCCTGTTTTGGCTTGTCGCTGCAGGCGCTTGGCACGGAGGATCTTCTGCACATGCTCAAAGTTCAAAGAATGCATCCTCCTCACGTCCTTGTGGATCTGTTCCACCTCGTGCCGCTTGTACCTCCGCTTACTGGGAACATCTGGGAGAGATGAGAGAAAGAGGAGAGTGAGGTGATCACATGGTAAAAAAAAAAAGACACTAAAGGCTGCAAAGAGAAAAGGCGTTATTATGTTCACATCTCAGTACAAATGGGCAGCCTTGGAAAGGCCAGGAAAGACATTGTGCCAATTTAGCTCATCGAGAGAATCCGTCTTTTTTTTTTTTGTTGCTTCAAGAGCTTCCTGCTAATTTTGACATATTCATGTAAGCCTTTGAAAGCCCAGCTGAGCCAGGAGAGCAGATCCTATCCTGTAATTGTCTACTACAGAGCAGAGAGGAGAGGGGAGAGGAGGGGATCCCATTCTGCTAGCAGGAAATCCACAGAAATCTCTCGTTCAACCATTTAGATGTCGCCACACAATAACGACCCTGTGCATCTGGAGCACGGGCTGCCAGAAAGCCAAACACACATTTATTCACATGTGCATCCTCACACAAATACAAACACACACACACACACGTGCATCTCCATCATGCACTAATAATGAATTCAGCAGTTCAGAATGGCTGAGCAGAAGAAACTGGAGCCATATTGTTTCCTTTAAAGTAGGGAACTGGGCACTATGCCCTTTACGCACTGTTCTCTCCTGCCTCCTCCACTTTTCTCCATCACTCTCATTCCCTTTTTTCCACTCTACTCTTCATACTCAGCGCCATGCTACTCTCTCATTTTCAATTAAACCGGTAACACTGCACCATTTCATTTCTGTCTCTATTTCAGAAACCGCTTCCTGGTGTTGGTCCATCGCTGTGATTCTTTTTGTTTCCCATCTCTGTCCCGTTTTGCAGCCCCCCCCCCTCCTCCTCCTGGGCACTGTTCCCGGGGCTCAGACTGAGCCACAGCCAAAATGGAGGAAAAGCACAATCAGCCGACAGTCCCCAGGCAGTGTGCAAAAAACACCCCAGGTCTTTTTTCCTAGAGCTGCACTCTTCTTTCTCCATTTACCAACCATTTGCTCTCTTCTTTCTCTCCAGAATCCTGCCGATTCAATGTAGCGGGGTTCTGCAGCCGATTGCAAGGCGTTGAAATAGTGATGCACAACCCAATTTAGAATATTACTGTTTGTTTCATCAAGCATGGCATCAGGGCTTAGAATAATTTACTAAATGAACTGTTGCAACCAGCAGCTACAGAGTTGTAATAATATCCCACATGGTTTGTTAGAGATCCCAAAAACGTTGAAAGGTACAATGGGAACTTACAAGGAGGAACTTACATTTAAAACTCAGCAGAACATCTCACTCTATTGTTGCTCAAAAATTTAGGGCAGACAGTGAAATTAGTCTAATGCAGAAAGCACTAAGTAGCAGTAGTTTATGAGCTGTGCACATGCTCAGGTATCAAGCACACACACACATACAGACACGCTACAAAGTAGCAGAAATTTATGAGCTGCATACACAGAACATAAAACCAGTGACCTTCAGCGGTGTGAGGGGTCGTATAGCACGGAGGACCTGTTTCTCTGTGCAGCAGGAAGTCACTACTACACAGAGACACATGTGCACGGCTCGGGCTTCAGACAGGTCATCCCCATCGTTTAACAGGAGTGTTTCTCTTCATGAAGATGCCTGTGCTCGAACAAGTCATGTGACAATTCCTTTCACAGATTGAGTTAGAAGATGCCACTTTTCAGCTGCAAGTGAGACCAACAGAATGCCGGAGAAACGCACGCACGCACAGACAAACACACACTAAATCAGTCAATCTGACTGTGTGTGAATATCAGTGTGGGTCCATGTGTGCATGTGTACATATATGCACGCGCGCCTGTGTTTTAATTGGGCTAAAGCTGTGAAGTGAGGCAGTAAGTCATGCTAGAGGAGGGCCAGTTAGAAGGGGGGAAAGAGAGGGTGATGGGGGAACGAGGGGGAGGGGAGACGAGGGAAAAAGCAGAAAGGGAAAGGGACGGGAAAGAGATATAAGGGGGAGGGGAGCGAGAGGAATGGGGGTGAGGGGGGAAGTCTGACTGTCGGGATTGGGGGAGAGAGGCGACGGGGGAAAGCAAGAGCAAGAACTGCAGAAGCAGCAATAGCGGGAAAGAGAAGGACATGGAAGGTAGAAGAGGAATAACAACACTGGAGGGATGGTGGGGGTCGGGGGGGGTACTGTGTATATGAGTCATCCGTCCTGGATTCCCTGGGGTGTGGGGGTGTATTCTAACCGAGCCCCTGGCTTCTCCTCCCCACCACTGGACTAGGCCCCAGTCATTAAACCCCTGGCTGCCAGCCAGCTCTTTTAAAACAGGCAAGGGCCTTTTACGGCGTGTCTGTAGAAAATAAATCACACTGTGTGAATAATATATCTCCGGCAAACGCATTGGCAGGAGGGTCGGGGGGAGGGAGGGTGGGAGGGGAGGGAGGGAGAGATTGGTGAATTATAGTCGTCTCCATCCATGCATTACGTTCTCTCTATCCCCAACCAGATGTGCTCAAAGACAGCAGAATACAAAATGTACCAAAATTACCCCAGTCTGGGAGAGAGAATCTCAGTACCCTGCCTTTGTCTGCGTTAAGTCCTGATAATGCTGCACATCGCATATTTATAAATGGGAATCACCTTGACGAGTACTCTTCTATCTACTATTTAAATAGGGAATATCCTCTTAACTCTGACTAAATATGTGATTAAGTCTGAATGCCAGCAAATAACAAGCCGCTTATCGCTAGGGAACAGAATAATATGGTGAGCAGCAATTATTTTTACAACATGCTCCTGATTTTGCCATATTAAAAGCTCTGCAACGTTTGGCAGGATAAGATTATATCTACCTGGCTCGCCAGGCAAGATGCCAACGCTTAAGCCTAGAGTGCAGCATATTTCGCTGTATGCATATCCAGGGAGCGTAAAGTACGTAGAGGTACTTTTCATTTTGAGGTAGCTATATTTTGAAGTATAGTCATAAGTCAACTGGTTGGATAAAGTAAAGCCGGATAAAAGCACTTATTGCAGTCGGATCGGTCATGAAGTCCATTGGTGTTTCGAGCTACTGTTGGGGTGAGCCAAACACGCCTTCCTGATGCTTTGTACTACAAGCGTTTCCCAGTTGAACCGTGTGTGTTTTTTTATTGTGAGGTAGCTACAGGAAGTATAGTTATAAGTTAACAACAAGCACTAATAGCAGTTCAAGCTAAACTCGAACCTCCAACATGTCCTCAGAGTGAGGAAGTCTCGCTTTGTCATCACGCCAAAATCCACACGGCCGTAACAAATGAACGGGTGAACCTAATGTAAGTGGTTCCTACCATCGTGGGAGGGGCTGCCGAAGTTGTTCATCCTTCCTGGCTCCTGCCGCGCCGTTTGGAACGACATTAAGCCCTGCTCTCCAAACACTGCGAGCCTCGTCTTCCTGCTCCGCCCGCCACACTCCTCCTCCCGTGACCCCAGGAAGAGGTCAGAAGCCGACTCCGGCCGCTGGGCTTGGCTACTGTAGCTGCTCATGAAGCTGTTCATTGGCTGACGGCTCTGACGGGAGTGGAACTGGCTGTCGGCGAGCTCCGACTCAAACAAGCTGGATCCCAGGCTGGAACCTCTACCGCTGCCGCTCTGCTTCTCCAGGTGCTTTGAGGGGCCCTGACCGGCCGCGTCCCTCCTGTCGCTCGGCACCCCGAGGCGTGAACCGGTCTTCGCTCCGCTGAAGAGTCCTCCCAACTCTTGCCGATCGCGCAGTGAAAAGAGGGGTTCGTCCTTGTGCTTGTGTTTGTGCTTGTGCTTCCTCTTATGGAGGCGAACCCCAGCGAGACCACCTGCACTGACGCTGCCCAGTGCGCCCTCTCCCCTCACAGAGGGCCCCTGCAGCGGGCCGCTGGTGCTGCGAAGCTTGGCCCCTGCTTGGAGCTGTGAGTGTCCACTGGAGTGGAAAGCCTTCGGAGGGGGGACGGCGGGCCTCATGAAGGGAGAAGGAGGCGCAGGTCCCCTCGAGTGGTGGGGCAGGTAGAATGGGGGAGCGGGGGGGAAAGTAGCCCAGACTCAAAGGGGCGCGTAAGGAATCGGATACGGTGCTGCATAATAATTTCCCCCGGCCAGTGGATAAACACTAATCCCTGAAACGAAAGCAGTTTGGGATGTGGATTGGCTTCGCTTGGCTTTGGGCCGGGCGGGCCGCGTCCTCCTCTTTGGCCTTCAGATCGGCGCTCTGCGGAAGTACGAGCTGGAGTCACAGGAATACGAGTCGTAGTAAGAGATAGTAATGATGGAAGTTGAGGCAGAAAATGGAGCGATATGCTGCTAGAGAAGGCAGGTGTATCGCCTGTGAGACACTCGTAACTGCTGGAGCTTCAAGACAACCTGCAGGGAGATTTAGAAAAACATTTAGAAAAATACATCACACATCCATAAAATATGGTGCTTAGTCGAACATTAGGCATGATAATGTTTTGTTTCTAACCTCCTCCAGTTCAGAGAGAAAGTGAAGATGATCCCGGCTCTGCAGGCACTTCCTCTTCCGTCGATGATGTTTTTGCTTCTTTTCTTGTTGTGACAGGAAGTTGTCAACAGCAGTTACTTGCCGTTCACAGCGCGCTCTGCCGCCTCGGTTGGAGGCCTCCAGGGCCGCCGCCTCCGCAGCCTCAAACCCACACAGATCAAATGAGTACCTGTATGAACACATCAAATAACATAGGAAATGTAAAATCATGCCAAAACCACTACATTAATAAATCAAATCAAATATTTAATATACAAAAACCTCTAAATGAAGGTTCAAGATTGTGAAAGTACCTGCGTCGAGAGGCGGAGGCCTTCTCCGTTTGATCTGAGGTGCTGTTGTTGTCTGTCCCAATCCCACTGTCACTCGGAATGGTCTCCTCGCTGTGGGACTCGCTGATGGGGGACAGGGTCACCTCCTTCACCGATGCCCCCTCTGACAGGTGGGACGGAGAATTAGCCAGAAGTCGTGGAGGCGACAGTTTCCAACCGCCAGAGAGGAAGCTTCTGCCCGGCGGCTTGGAGGGCAGGGCTGAGATGGGCTGCAAACTGGGCATAGTGGCATCAGAGTGGCTGGTTCTCAAGGACGGACCGCTGGAGCTGGGAGACAACGTGGCCGAAGGCACCACGCTGCTCTCGTAGAGACTCGATGTGGAGACGGGCAGGGAGAGCGTGTCCCTAGTGGTTTTGGGAGGGTTGGAGCCTTGGGTTTCTGCTCTGGGTTTCCGCCCTCTCTTCTTTCCAATGTAGATGGTTCCTCTCTTGCTGACATTTATCTGTTTTCCCAGCCGAGCCTCTATAGTGGACGCCATGGCACTCATAGCCGAGGACACGGGGCCGGAAGACGACTTCAGGGCAAGGGAGCCGTTCTGACTGGACCCTGAAAGGATCTCATTCAGGATGCTTTGCATTTTACCGAGCTTCATCTTATTCACTGGCCTGGACGGGCCCCTGCCACGCTTTAGTTTCAGAATATTCGAATTGGCGCTGGTGGTCGTGGAGGCCATTTGCACTAATGTGTTTAGCGTGTGTGTCTTCCTCCGGCGGTTGAGCCCTGCAAAGGTTTCCTGGGCCAGTGGGCTTGGGGGTGAGGTGGACGTACCCTCGTGGATGGTCTCCACCGTTAGCAGCGGCTGTTTCTTGGGTCGTCCTCGTTTCCTCTTGATGGGCGCGTGGACGGTCAGGCTGTCAGTGTTGGTGTAGAGGGGGCTGGAGGGGGTGATGGGGAAGGCCGAAGGTGGGTCAGCTAAGGTCAAGGGGCTCCCCCGGTGGTCCCTCTGGGGTGATGCGAGGCAGGAGTGGCTCTTAGCTTTCAGATAGGACCATCTGTCCTTGGCCTTGGTTGTTCTGGAGCAGGCGGCGGAGCCGGTGCTGTGGCTGGGGCTCGGACTCAAGGCCGTCCTGGGTTTGGGGCTGAGACTGGCGGCGATGTTAGCCCTCGGGCTTGGACTGATGCTGCCCCGGGGGCTTAGGTTTGGGCTTGGGTGTCTGGGATTTGTGTTGAGAGTGGCTTTGGTGGTGTGATTATAAGCCAGCTCTCGGTGTTTCAGGGTGTCCGTGCTGAGCTTAGGACGACCCACGGGGTTCTTTTTCATTCTATTCGCACTCAAAGCGGTCTCTAGGTCAGACCCGCTCATAACTACTTCCCCTCTCTCTGCCCTGTCCACCCTCTCTCCCTTTTCTCTCCTATCGAGTTTATCCGTTCTCTCTGCTTTTTCCACCCGGTCTCTTATGACATCGGCGGGACCTGTGAGTTGACAGTCGTTTTTGTGGGTCTCCATCTTATGTGCTACTTTGGGCTCCGGGGCGCCCAGCTGGTGCTTCTGTGCGTCCTGCCGTTGCTGTAATTGCTCCTCTGCAGAAAACGACTCGTCGAAAGAAGGCCTCCTCCGCCTCTTTCTTCCCTTCCCTTCGTCTGTCAGCATTGGCGTCCCTCTGTCTTCTTCATCTCCTCTCCTCCCAGGAACGGCTCGCTTCTCGTTCCCTCTTTTCTACTTCCTCTCTGTCTTCGTGGAACCGCTCAGCTGTCTCATCTTGCCTGTACTTATGCCTCTCCTCGGAATTAGTCGGGCTCTCTCAATCTATTCTCTGGCTGTCTTATCCAAGGTGTATCAGCACCGTGGGGATTACAGAGCATCCTCTGAGAGTCTTTCCTTCCGTACTTCCTCTTGATGTTCCCAAAGAGCTGCTCACTGACCTCTTGCAAGCCCCTTCCCCTGGAGAGATACGGAGAAAGAAGTGGAATGGAGGGAGAGATGATAAATGTTTTGTAATTTACAGACACTAGACAGTGTACCAGCATTTAATGGAGCGTTTACTATTTGTTGTGTGTGACCTCACGTATCCGGTATTACCTTTACTGTGCTATACAAATATATATCCTGCTGTTCGTATGTTACCAAAGTTTAATCAAACTGTCTGTTTTATCATGTTAAAGGAAGGTTTCACTTACTCCTCTAATTATTCAATATTATAACAAATGGGAAAAATAAAAAAGAATACTTCTCCTGAAAGTACATAATATTACCAAACAAAATATAACAATACAACATTGTTTCAACTCTCTTCCGTCAGTCTCTTCAGTGCAGTGTACAGAATGAATGTTTGGCTCACAATAACATCCACCTCACAAGAAAACAATTCATACTTGCTGAGCGACGTCAGGTTGAGAATACTGGCATCTGTAACCACTGGCAGGTCTGGAGTCAGGGATCTCTGGGGTGAGGGGCTTCGTGTAGCTGCTCGTGAGAAAGGTTGGTCTGGATCGACTGGAGTGCTCCTGTTGGCTGCCGCCAGTTCTCTGGCCGGCTCTGGATCTGCCGGATTTGCCGGGGACGCAGAAGGTGCCGGAGACGTGATCCAGTCGGGATTAATTTGGTGTTGATGTGCATGAGCGAACTGTTGAACGTGATGTGTTTGCTGTGTGTGCGTGGGAGTGAGGGAACTGCGGAGCTGGTGCTTGGGCAGAGTGTGATCTCCCAGTAGTTGCAGCAGGTCTCCCTCTCTTTGCTCCGGCATTCTGAACTGCCGCTCGTACGTCTGGGGACGACAGAGAAAAAAACAAACAAGGGCTTGGTTACTACCCACAAACTGCACTCACGAGGAGAACGAGGGGGGATCACAAAACTGTGAACGCTCCATTTCATGTCTTCGTAACATCTCCACCTAGATCCTACTTTTCTACCACACAGAATCCATGTTCTGCATCCGGTCTCTTATTGTCAGCATCTATCAAATCTGAAGCTTTTAATACATCTTGTGAGCATGAGCGGACAGTGTGCAACGAAACAAAAGGCTTGTTTACAGAGCAATTAAATTCCTGTGGCAAGGATGTACCATGCTGTGAGGGCTGAGGGGTTAAGGGGGGGGGGGGGGGGGGGGGGGGGGGATTGCGGGTGCCTGACTGCACACAGTATTAAACACAGTAGCCTCGCTCAGCCGTGTCCCTGATTGTCCCGGACCTATAATGATTTATTATATATCATCTTTATTTGCGTATTATGTCTTGAAACTATGGAACAATTTATAAAAATGCCAACCATCGCTCTGTAACCCATGTATGTTCATGTACAATTGAAACTGTACAACTTTATTTACTGTATTACACAACATAGCCGGGCTTAATGTATCACTGCTACATAATAAGCGCGCTGCTGGGAGATAGAGCAGCGGATGGCTTTTGTGGTTTAGTCTGTTATTAACAGACTCAGTATGACGCAACGAGACACTGTTCTGCTGCGCTGCAGGGAGATGTAACCTAACCACAGGCCTACCTCTCAGCCTACACACACACACACACACACACACACACACACTCACACAAGAATACCGTAGAGGTGCACATTTTTAATTTACGCTGTACGAAATCCTGGCCTCGCAAATGCCAATGTATGAACACAGTCAGGCATCCAATTTTGGTCGCTACGGATCGGCACCTCGCCACGTGATTGGCTCCCTTTCTTTGGAGATTCACACACACTTACACACACACGGTAATGGAACACATAATGTACGCAGTTCACATCACAGTGCACACATCTGCAGGAATAGATTGATCAACCACTATCCATTACTCTCTCTCTCTCTACTCTCCCTTCATTCGTTAGGCTGTTAACTCGTGTTTTACCTCCACACTGGCTGCAGGAGCTGTTTGTTGGCCACATGCAAGCTGCACAAACTCACAAGCACAAAATAGCACACACGTAAACCGCAAGCACACACTGTACACACACAAGCACACGAGCACTGAGCGGCGTAAATGATTAACAATGGCAGTGAATGCATGTTTATATGCACACTCTTATTTATCTCCTACATTTGTCCTAAGCTATTTTATTCCCAGGCTATCTTTTAACACAAGCTGATATAAATACTTGGTGGTCATGTGATAATTGCTCAATTTTGGTTGTCTTTAGCCTGTTTTAAATTGCCCTTTCATCACTCTGTTGAAGGCAACGTCCTTACAAGTCTCCACACAGCTTCACCAAAGCCACGGAAAGAAAAAACATTCTGCTCGGCAAATTGATGGCGATATTTCTTTGTTGTGCACACAGAACGCTGCTCTGCTCCTGTCATGAGCGGAGTAAACAGGGACTGTGCTACTGGTGGCCTGCAGCAGGGGGCAGCGGTCAGGAGAATCAGTACTAGCCGTGGACTCTGACCCTGGAGCGGCCCACAAGCGCAATAGCTGTGAGCTTTCAACCTCTTCCACAACGTCCTTTCTTCCACCGGTCCCCTCTGATCAAATTAGGATGGGGAGAAAGGCCAGCAGAAGGCCGACCCACGGAGGCTCTCAGCGCTGCATTCAGGGGTTAAGGGTCGTAAACCACAGCGAGTTCAACAGCCATTTCCAGAATATCTTCCATCGGGCTTAGCGCTGTAACAACATGGTGCCAGTCACACAAAGGCTCCCGAACGCAGGCAGATATGGAGCTGCACATTCCTTCCCACCGGTGATGTAACCGCCAGATAAGGTCAGGGATAATATGTGACTTAGTGCTGCAATCGCCCAACTGAAAGGCACTTTGCAAATGAGTCAGCATACATTTACGGACAACTTTGTTTGTGTGCGCGCGTCAGAATGTAACGTTTGCACATAAAAAGTTCTCCTTTCTCTTCCCATTTGATGTTAGGGAGGCATGCGACGGTACCCCTGTCCTTTCCTCTCCTGAAGCCTCGTGTTTTCCAGTGTTGAATAAACTAAACTCTGAGTGGAACTTCTCCCTGTCTCACACACACACACACACACACACACACACACACACACACACACAGACATAAACACAGAGCACCCTGGCTGCACCATAATACTGGGAAAGAACACCCTAAACAGGCACACCCAAATCTCACAACCCTGCACACATATACACCAACAAACATACACACAAACTCAGTGCACACCCACACAGACACACAAAAACACCCTGCCCTTCAAATAGTTTTTCGCAGCCTTTTATTTGGCCGCCCGCCCGGTGGTTAGAGTGTTTCATTTTTCCCTGTGTATGGAACTGGGCAGCTGTCCAGAGAGACACACAAAGAGAGAGAGAGAGGAGGGGGGGGGGGGGGGGGGGGGCAGGGCAGAGAAATTGTGAGGGAGGGGGGTTACTGAAAGAATGAGAGGAGCAGAGAGGGAGGGAAGAAGAGGACCAGCAGAAAAACAAGAAGGTTCCTAGACCCATTAACAACTAGTTCCCTCCAAACCTTCTGATTGATGTGATCCTCTCTCTCTCTCTCTCTCTCTCTCTCTCTCTGCCTGTCACCAACACTCACACACACACCAACACTCACACACACACACACACACACACACACACACACACACACACTCCCCTTGGCTTTGACACCATGCTGTCTCCCTCTGGCCCTGTGGCCTTGTGCGCTGCCCCCCTTATCACATCCCTCCTTCTCGTCTTCTTTTCTCTTTCCTGGAGCTGACCATTCTCCCCTGTGGGAACTACCCCCCCCTCCCCTCCCCTCCCCACCCCTCATACCCCCCTCCATTCACAGCGCTGCTTCTCTGTGATCTGTGTTTCTGACAGCTCTGGACACACACACACACACACACACACACACACACACACAGACACACACACAGCTCCTCTGCAAACAAACACCATGAATACTAACACGGCTTTGTGTCCACAGCACTTAAAACGGGGTAAAGGCGAGGATGGGGGGGGTGTAGAGAAAAAGGAGGGAAAAGCGATGTAGGAGAAAAGAGGCACTGTGTTGATCTTGTGGCCACTCTTGCAGACCTCCCCCCTCTCCCTCCCTCCTCTCCCCCCTCTTCCATGTTTCCCGTTCTCTCGTTCTTCCCACCAGTTCTCCCGGGAATAAAGACTTCCATTCATGCGCCTGAGGAGACCCACAGCAGGGGAGAGAAAAGGGGGGAGGAGAAGGGGGCAAAAGATGAGGGGGTGTCAAGGTGGGACAGTTTTGTGGATCACTGGGATCAGGCTCACTGCCTAAAGTCGTGCGACTGTCTGTGTCTGTGTCTGCATATTATTCAAGCTGCAGATCAAACTTCTTCCTGCAGTGCTTTCTTTTTTTCCTGCAGTGTTGAATCTGCAGCGCATTTGTCCTTTAACCAACTAAGGCAGAAGACAGATTTAATGCACAGCAGTGGGTCGCGAGCAGAATGTTTCCTCTTACGTCCGCGGCGGTAATCCTTCAGATTAGAGTGCTCCCAAAGATAGCAGCGAAAAAACCCGAGTGCCTCCTCGTCGCACTCTCTTCAGACACGCTCAGACGTAGATGACTCAATCCGAACAAAAGCCTGTGATTGGCTGAACAGAAGCATGTTATTACGGTGAAATTAGAGGTTTTCACTCGCTGAGTAATGACAGAAACATTTACATGCTACACAAAGTGTATGTCTAATCCCCGCTATTAGCATTAATGGTGTGCGGTGTGAATAGACACTTTAAAAGAGCTTTTTTCATAGTGATTATCACAGCGATTATGTACCAATTTTTCCTTTTGTGGATGTGGCTGAACCTCCGGTGTCTGCAGCACAAAGAAAATATACACGAGCAAAGAGACACAATCTTTCGGCCCGTCTCTCTACGAAGAAGAACAAGTGTATCACAAGTCGCACTGTTGGATGAATAGATGATTGATCTAAATTACACAAACATACGTACATGTGCACAGCAGACAGTAAGTACGAAGCCAAAATAACGCGTCGTTCACAGTGCTCTGCGCACCATATGACCCAATTGTACCACTTCTATACAACAGGAAACAATTAACAGCCAATGAGCTGCTCTAAATCCTAAGGGATGGCTTCCTGTGTGGAATGATGGGTAATTCAAGACAGAAGCTGTGCTGAGATTAAACACTTCCTCTCTGGCAAACGGTGGACTGCAGCAGCGAAGCCTCGTTCCCCGACTAGTTAATCACATCTAACTGACTCTAACGAATCGCTGTCTAGTTACTCCCGTGATTTGTATACATAGATAACCAAATCACCTGCACGTTTCCGTACACATTAGTGATGTAAAAGCTCGAGAACTAGTGTCTCTGTTATCATGCTACGCCCTATTAGAGTGAAATACTTTTTTTATTAAACAATTGGATACAGGAAACAGTCCCATTGCAGTATGCTGCTGAAACTCAATCACCAGAGAGTGAATTACATTTATTTCTACGGATAGTGTGTCAACAACACAAACACTGGTTTCAGGCATTTATCCAGCAAATATATGGTTATGAGCTTTGCAAATGTGAGGATTTATAATTTTCTCTAAAATTGAATATATCTTTGGAGTGTTGCAGGCCGGAAAAAACCCACTGGAAGACGCGCCTATGGACTTTTTGGAAATTGTCCTAATTATCCATTAAGAATCACTCTTTTGAAAAATGTCTCTTGATTCTGCACTCCAGGTTTGAAGCTTGCAAAGTAACACTTTCATTGCTTTGTCTGTCGATGTCTTAAGTCCTCAGACGATCCCCAGCTTGCGAGGCCCAGAGAGTCAGAGAGCCACTTTACAACATCCTCAGTGGCAAAAGTGAGACACAATAGTCTTAACCAATCAGAC